CTTATCTATTATGGAGAATAAAGAAGATTTGCCTTTAGAATTTGTACTATAGATTGGTGAAGAATACTTATTTTCATTGTTACTATATTTAAAATTTGTTTTATTTTTTATTATTTTTTTTTACGGGTCGCGGGTTAACCGCGGCCCGTGGGGGTGAAACCCGCGAAACCCGCAGGTTACACCTCTTTGGCCCGTGAACCGTCCGCACGGATCACGGGTCGGCCCGCGGTCCCGATTTTCACGGGTCTGGCCGATCCGTCCGTCTTGACACCTCTAGTTAAGCTTGTGAGCCATTTGTGGCTTGCTAATTTTTTATTTTATTTTTATTTTTATATGTCTTTCTGAAATTGCATGTTTTACTTTTATTATAGCGAGATGGCTAGCATATGAGCTTACAAGTTCAGGAGGCAACTCGTGCAAGTCGACAGTGGTTTGTACAATAAATTTGGTTTTCATTAGTGGCATGAGCAGTGAGCTGACGAGCGACTCGCCCCACTCAACATTCCTAGATCCTACACTTATTTTAGTAATAAACTATTAAGTTTCTTAACATGTTTGCTCTCCGTACCTTCCCACATCAGGGATTTTAGGAAAGTTATGTATGGCCAAGATATAAAAGTTTCTATTTTATGTCCATTATTTAATATTATTATATATAATTTTAAAAACATAACACAAAAGTCAAAATGGAACAAATCATGGGGGGACGAGAACACAACATTTTGCCATCCCTAATCAAATTGATTGGCTTGACCAACATGATTAGCTATTATTTCAACATGATGATCAATAATTCTATTATCGCTCAAATTGGAAGTTCTTCTTCAGTTGTAGTAATCGAGTTCGAGTTTTAGAACTCCATAAGTGTCTTTTCACCACTCCGTGTTATATTTATTGTTAAATACTAATAAAATGAAAATGGAATGTACAAAAAAAAAAAAAAAAGAAATGGTAAAAGGAAAGAAAAAAAATTTGAACCATGTTATCGCATGGTTCATTGACCATGCAGTCGCATGGGTATTACTGAGACTTAATGTCTCGGTAACTCTCGAAATGGCTTGTACCATGCAATCGCGTGGGTTTGTACCATGCAGTTGCATCTCGCATGGTACAAAATTCTAGCCTTTTTTGGCAGTTTTTGACCGTTTGTGTTTTTGAATTTGGTGCATTTTCACATGTTTTTTGGCACTATTTCGTGCATCTAAATTTGGCATATATATAAGACATTGGTGTTCATG